GATTTAAAACCTAGTCCCAAATTATCATTCACAGTTGCTATCTCTTCAGTTGGGAACCAAGAAGCAAGGCAAGACACAAAACAAACATCAGAGAAAGAAGAAAAAGGAAGGGAAATGTACATTTTAACTGAAAGACCTCCTCAGACCACAGAATGTCATATTATTTGTTAATCAGATGCTATATGGACCAGAATCCCACAAAGGCAAAGCAGAGGACATTCAGTTGTTTTCCCTTACCCATAGGGACTGGTTTCAGGACCCCGGCGCCCATGGACACCAAGGTCTGTGCTGTGAAGTGGTGCTGTATTTCCCCATAACTCATATGCCTTCTCCTCTTGCTGTACAGCACCTCTAGATTACTCACAACACTAACACATACATACACACACACACTTGTTAATATGACAAGAAAAACTGCACATGCTCAGGACAGATGAAATCTTTCAATCTATGGGTGGCGCAATTTGTGGACAAAGAGTCTATACTATACAGACATCTCTCTGTGCAGTTAGGCATGGCCTTCACCTACCTGCCATATATAACTCTCAAGGCTCTGGCACTCTGTACCACCTTAACAACCTTTCCTTCAGTAGAAACAACTGACAGAGAGCGAGGAAAGAAATGTTTCACAATAGACTATACAACAAACTCTGCCTCCCTGAGCAAGGGAACAATGAAAACTGATTATAAAAAATATATATTTTTTTAATAAAAGCATCAGGGCACAGAAAGGCAGTCTTAAACTTCAAGCAAAGAAGTGAGTTTCCATTGGAATGTGTGGCAACTGCAGGCATAGCTATACTCAAGAGGTCTTGGCATCATCAAAAAAAAACCTGACTACAGAGAAAAAGATCCTTAAGCCTCTTCACCTCAACACACTAAAGGGAAAAAGCTGGTGGAGTGAGGAATGGAAAAGGCTTGGCCACAGAAATTTCTTACGCAGTAACTTTGTAGTAGGGAGGCTCCAGGCAAAATCTAATCAGAAATATTAGCTTGTGTGTCAGATGTGCCACCATTAATTAAGGAGAAACAGATAAGGAATAAGTACATTTTTCCATTCTTCTTTCTTACCATCCCTATCCAAGCAAATCCCCAAAAAGGAACAGCAAAAGATTACATAGTAACAAACAGCAATCCTTCTGTATCCCAAGAGCTTTAGGCAGTAAATGGCCAGACTCTAACAGAGGAAAGGAATTCTAAATTGAATATCAGACTGATGCTTAAATTGGAATAATAATCTACTAGAGCTTTTTTTTTTGGGGGGGGGGTTCTAAACAGGGTCTCACTATGTAGACCAGGCTGTTCTGGAACTCAGAGATCTGCCTGCCTCTTTCTCCTAACTGTTGGGATTGAAAGAGAGCGCCACAACACCCAGCTCTGACTAGAGCTTTTAATAGCTGTAAATAATAATACTCATGGGGTATGAGGGAAAAAGAGGAAGATTCTTCAAACATGACTAAAAATATAAACATTAAAACTATCTTATGTTTATTGTCACTAGCTCAGTCTGCTCAATAATCCAATGGCATATGGACCTGCATAACCGCTGCAGTAATGAGAAGGAACACCTGACATGGAAATTCTCAGGGAGGATTTACTGTACCTGCTAAAAAGCTGCATCAGAAGCCCTCTGAGATCACTCCTAACTCTGGCACTGCTAACAACTATCATTTCTTCTGGCACTGCTAACAACTATCTTTTCTTCAAGAAGAGGATAAACAGAATCCAGAACCAAGAACCCAATGGATCTTGAAGAAGCAAGGTTGCCTAAAGGCATAGAACCAAAACTTCTGGTGTGTAAAGTTATCAGACTGAGTTTTGTTTGGAAACAGTATTTTATTCTAAAAAAAAAAAAAAAAAAAATTCATTCAAATCCTACACGACTCTAATTTTCTCTTACATTCAAGAACAATTCCAGTTCAAAGAAAGTAGTATGGTATAAAAAAAAAAAAAGAAAGAAAAGAAAGTATGGTATAAAAATTGCTAAAACATTATCTTTTAAAATCAAAGCTATTCAATTCGTCCAATGGCTCATCAAACAAATAAATGCTAACTTAAATATATTCTAGGGATCACAAATGTACATATTCTTTATCACACAGAACCTACAAGGAAAACTACTAATCCTTAAATTATTTAGCTAACTGTTTCATTGTAACAGAGACCTAGTTTGTAGCAAGTTATCAACAGAACATCTTTTTTCTTTTCTTTCTTTCTTTTTCATTCTTTTTTCTTTTTTGACACGGGGTTTCTCTGTATTGCTTTGGAGGCTATCCTAGAACTAGCTCTATACACCAAGCTGCCCTTGAACTCAGAGATCCGCTTGCCTGTGCCTCCCCAGTGATGGGAAGACGGGTTCTTTCTATTATGTGATTCTGGTTGTCCTGAGTCCTGGAACTCACTATGTAGACCAAGCTGGCCTGGAATTCGATGCCTCCCAAGTGCTGAGTTTAAAGGCAACCTCAAGGGGATGTCTTCTTTTTATATGAAAACATTCCATACAAGTATTCCTAAAAATAACTGAGTACTATAGGCAAGCATCTAAAGCTACTGAATGTTTCTGCCAAAAGGAAGTAATTTCATATACAAGTCAATCTGTTCTCAAATGCTGCATACTCAACAAATAGTAAAAATAAATGAATAAAGCTAAAATTTAATGTTTATCACCTACTGAAGTGATCTTATTTTATTATTGCAGATTTGAAATAATTTTTGAAATTTTAAATAAAGTCTTGACATGCCAAAAAATGCATTGTTCAGGCATACGGAAGATGATTATTTGTCTAATCTTCAGCTCACAGCCAGCATCTGGATGGGTGCTTAAAAGCACCCCATTAGCACAGCTCTTGAAACATTTTAGTCAAAGCAAAGTTGCTCCTGGTCCACCTGTATGGGTAGTAGAGTCTACCAAGAAGCCATCTTCCTAATTCTTTTTCAACAGCTACTAAAACAGGAACAAAACAAGGGACCACCACCTAACATGTCCATGACAAAGTCTGACTTAAATCATAGTAATAAATTATTTCTTAGATTTCCTTCTGGCTTACAGGCGGGAAAAGTGGGATCTGCAATCTGACTAGGCACTTAACTGACTAAGCACTTAACAGTAAAGAACTCTCATTCAGCTTTAGACCCAGGTCAGTTTTTCAGCAGAAAAGTCCACATAAAGATGTAACTATTTTCTCAAGTACCTTCCTAGGCATTGCCCAAAGCATCTTATCCCATCTTTGAATACTGCCCACAATAACTGTTTAAAGAAAAGAATCCAATGCTATTCTTAACACCCTTAAATACTTCTAAAAAGGTCCTTCCTGCTTATGAACTCATGGCCGTTTCCTCACAATTGTATACTTATCCTGTCCCACCGTCTCAGTCTCCGCCAAACAGATGTACACAGCACCTCTTTCCTATTTTGCTACACTGCTAAACACAGAAAGAAAAAAAAAAAAAAAGATACAAACATGCTCCTTTCCCACCAACAGCAACAGTGAAACTATTAATGAATAGGATAAAGGGAGACAGAAGGCAACATGTATGTATCACTTCCCACAGTAACAAGCTATTGACTCTTTACTACAAGCACAGATTAACCACACCGGGCTAGTTCTCAGAAATGTGTCATTTGGCACACTACAGGATTTATAACACTATAAAATGCCTATTAATCTGAATTCTGCCTGACTTAGTACTCTTGTTTAAACGTATCCCTGCTCTTAACAAAAACAAAAACAAAAAAAAAAAAAAAAAAAAAAAAAAAAGAACTTTCCCTAAGAGAGTTAGTACAAAATATGGAGTATTTAACTTGAGGAAAAATGCTTTGCCACAAGTATTGGTAAGAGAAACTAAGACGTACACACTGTATTCAAAATGCATGTTACTATTTTTGAAATAATAGTTCCTCAACTGCAGCTGTAAACTAAAAATGGTTTTTCATTTTTGCCCCCAAAGCTTGAGCCACTTAACGTTCTCCTAAACTTTGCAGCAGCTTCTTCCAGTGGCGGTCAATGCAAAAGCAGGACGCTAGCTACTCGGGAGGGAAAGAAAGCAGACTGCTCTACAGTTTTAAGATAAAAGACAATGGTATAAACCTTGGAGTGGGCTATTTGTTCCGGTCATTAAACACACAGGAAATAAGCTTTTCTAGTTAGAAAACTAATTTACAAAGGGCAACGACTTCATTCGAGTACAGAAAATCTTATTAAAATAGATAACGACGTATCCAAGCAAGTGTTAGAAAGAATGGGAAGACTAACTAGAGAACGAAGCGCCATAAACTACCTGAGTATCTGTTCCTTAAACCTGTCCTCGGGACCTGACCCCAAACAGCAAGTCACTTTCTGTCGAGGCTCTGCTTGGGTGTCGCAGCAGAACAGGGTTCTAGCAAAGGCAGAGAGAGCACCACGAACAGCAGGGCGCTTTCAACCTGACACCACTTTCTTCCCGGACGCTCGCTCTCCCGGGAGGGTCAATAGAAAGCATCTGAAAGGAACCACAAGCCGGGCAGGGCCGTCCCTCGAGGCTGCCCTCCTCCAAGTCCCAAGCCCCGGGTTCAGGCGCCTCCCGGACCCCACCCGCGTGACCTTGGCCGCCGCACTCCCGATCTTGCCGCCCGCTGTCCTCACACGCCTGGAACCCGGGCTGTGCAGGAGCGAGCAGCAGGGATGAGGAGGGCACGGCCCTGGAGCCGTGCCGCTCCGACAGGCGTCGCCACCGGGATCCCGGACAGGGGCCGAGCCGCGGCGGCGACAGCGAGAACCCGAGGGAAGGTGAACCTTGGAGGGGACCTGCAGGGCGGGCCGCGGGGCGCAAAGGAGCCCACGCACAGGTGAGCCCGGCCTCGCCCAGGTGCACGCGCTCCCGCGGACGCGCGACAAGGCGCGGCCCCGCGCCCCCTCAGCAGCCGGTGCCCGCCTCACACCCGCCTCAGCCGCGCGTCCCTCGCCCAGCTGTCCCCTGCCACACACCCACACCCGAGCTGCGCGCCTCACGCCCCACTTTACCGCGGCCTCCGCCCGGAGCACCCGCGCCGCCGCGGACCCGGCTCCTTCAGGCACTCAGCTGCCGGGAGCGGCGCCCACGACGGCCCGCCCGCGCACTGCGCACGCGTGCACGCGCCGCCTCTACCCCACCAGACGGTGACTGAGATTCCGGAGCGGGCACTCCCAGCCGCGGACACTACAAGTCCCGGCAGGCTCCGCGCGCGCCCGGCGGCGTGGCGGGCAAAAGAATCGGGCGTCTTCCTAGTTCCAGGGCGGTGGCTCGCAGCCGCGCGCGGGGCGCTGGGTCCCTGTGCCGCGCTGCATCCTGGGGCTTGCAGTTTTCGAGGTCCACGAGGCTTGGCTTGGGACATGAAACTCTGGGTTTTCTGATGTCATCACCTAGAGCTGCGAGGTGAGGTGCAGGGATCTTTAAAAACAGGATTAGTTCCTTTGCAGATAATTTTCAAGCTGTCCCACAGTTGGTCCAAGAAGTATAAATTCACCGGTTGCACAGCAGTTTTTTCACTCATAATCATTTTCTCTAAATGCAATTTCACCTCATCCTCATAATAGTGTTAATAGTGAAAGAGGCCAAAGGAAATTTAAAGGATTGGTCAAAACCCTTTCAGGGAGATATTTAGAAATATTCAACATATTTGTTGAACAACTACAGTGTATGAAGTCTGCCCTCATGGAGCCTATGTTTCAGAAGCAGGGCTAGCCCTTTAAAAAGTACAATCCTGGAAGATATTAATATGTGAGAGAGAAGAGTGAATCCTTGAAGATATTAATACATGAGAGAAAAAAGTGAGGTTAGGAGACAGGGGAGCCAGGCTTCATCAGAGAGGACATCCTCTCCAGCAAAGTTCTCTGAGAAAGAGATATTTGACCTGAAACCTGAAGAAGGAGACATATTCAAACATGCAAAGAACTGGGAGAGAATTATATGCCCCCCCTTTCACAGTGAGTTGCATGCTTTAGACTCCCAATAAACATTTGAGGAGTTTGTGTTCTTTGTAGCCTCTCTCTACACAGCTGTGGATCATGCCCTCTCACTAGAAAATCTTTATCAACACTTCTCACGAAACCCTGTCGTGTGCATAAGGCACCCGTAGGATGTCTCAGAGATGGATGAGAGGGTGGAGGTGAAAAATTAACTGGCAAACTGCCCTGTGCTGACTCTCTGGCTCCTCATCGCCAGCTGCTTTACATCCAAGATGATCAGCATGTTACCTTCAGAGAAGTGTCAGCTGCACAGCCTCGATGAGGACCATCTGTCTATTCTTAGGAGCAGGGGGCTCGTTTCCTCATCTGCATAATGGCTGAAAGACTATAAATTAGCCAGAGCAGACACTTTTATTTGGGCTATGCACTGGGCTTTTGTTGATTTCACTGAATGTGTAGATGACATTTTAAAAGGGTTTTCACATAGAAATCCAGATGTCACCTGTCTGATTTTTCCAGGTTTTTGAGTCTACAGCCCTTGGCTTCTTGAACAGATCTCTGGCTTTTCAGCTCTCGGAGCCCTGGAAGATTCCACTGGGAGTAATGAGGACACATCTAACAGAGTGCCTGTTGCATTTCTGTAACAAAATAACCAAGAGAAGCAACTAAGTTTGGAAGGGCTTATTTTGGTTCACACTCTGAGGGTACCTTCCATCCATTTCGGTGGGGAAGGCATGGCAGCAGAAGAATGAGAAGGCGCATCACACTGCATCTGCAATCAGGAAGTCGAAAGAAATGAACGCTGGTCCTCAGCTCACTTACTTTCTATTCATTCTGGGACCTCAGCCCATGGAATGATGTGGCCCATATTCAGGGTGGGTCTTCTCAGTTACACTCCACTGGAAATTCCCTCACAAAGGCCCCCCCTCTCTCTTTCTCTCTCTCTTCTCTCTCTCTGTCTCTCCCCCCCCCATTGCGTTAGCAATTAAATTGACCAACACAATCTGAAAGTCAAATACAAATTCAGTGTCTTTTTGTGAAAACCCTAACCCTGAAATCAGACTGCTGAAGCAGTAACCCTCTGTCTCTCTGTCATCAACCAGAGAGCCATTCTCCCGATTGTCATTACCGTTTGACTAAGTAGTGTGCAATTGCATAACAAACCCTAAAGCTCATTGGCTTTGAGAGCTAAATATATATACAAGGACTGAAAGCAGAGAAATGACTTAGTTTGCTCAATGACACACAGCAAAGTAATCTCAGAGCTACTTCGAGGTTGAGATCCAGCCAAAACTTGATAACTCCTCATCTGCCTTTAAGTGCAGAGACTGAAGTGGGGGTGGGGAGTAAGTGTAGGTAATAGAAGTTCTCGGCTCTTCCACTGCCCCCCCTTCAGTTCATTATACTTTGTGTTATTTAATGAAAATTAAAGCATATGCATGTGAAATATTTGTGTGCTGAGATTAGAGTCGGACAGCAAACCAAATGAAAGTAGTCCCAGTGAACAAACTGAGGCCTGCTAGATCCAGTCTCAATCCAAGGCTCTGAGATTTACTTCTGAAGCATAGATGTTCCGGCATCACCAGGCTATGAATGGATAACACATTTGGGTGTTTTATTCCAAATAAGCCTTGGTTTCTTTCCACACACTTAGAGCAAGACATGGGTCCCTCTGATAAAGCCAAGTGGTTTGAAGAAGTCAGGAGACTGGTCCAGTCGAAGATGGTGTTGTTGTCAGGCCTGAATCCGTATAGATGGTGTGCTGGATGTCATCCCCTCCTTGATTGTCTGACTTCCTTTCCCCCAGGAGCACTTCACGCCTCACTTCCCTGTTTCACTATCTCTCCTCTGCAGTGCTCAGATATTACTTATATAAACCTCCCATCCCATACATTCCTCACGGGTCTTATTTGCCTGCTGGACACTAGACTAGAAGCCCTACCCTGACAATGTTTGATCTGATGTTTAATCCACGGCTGTTCTCTGAGTGTCTTGAACAGAAAAATGTGTTAAACAATGTCACAAGCCTCCTTTCCTGCTGGAGTCATAATCAGAAGTCAAACCGCAGGAACAATTCCTGAAAGTAAATCCCTGTCTAGCCAGAAGTCAGGGCCAAGGTGGAGCAAGGATTAAACATGAACAGAACACTCTCTGAAACCCAGCTCTGTTCTGTGTTCCCTCTAGAAACTCAGAATTAGAGAGTTCAAAACAAAGAAAGAAACAAACAAAAAACCCAAAAAGCAAAAATCCCGCAGCTCTTCCCTAATGTTTGCTATAAACAAAAAAGTAGAGGTAGGACAGAATCAGGGCTTTGCCCCTGCAGCTGCACTGGAGAAGCTGGTTCCTGGCTGGCTGCCACACCCACACACCTGGCAACAAGCTAGAGATAGGGAGGATGGTTCCCGGTAATTACCCAGGGCTGGTCGGGTTAAGGGACTTGCCTAGACTACAAATGAGGTGGCTGGAGTCTCCTTCAGGAACTACGTCTTGCTCAGCACAATCCTGCTCCGGGAATGAATGTAAAGGATTGCCCTGGGTTGGTGCTTGCTCATGTGCAAGAATAATAAGATTTCCAAGTGGGTTAGCCACCAGTCAGAATCCCAGACACACAAAGAAATATATGAGGGGGAGGGAGAGAGGGAAGGAGGGAGGGAAGGAGGAAGAGAGAGAGAGAGGAAGCATAGGTAACCAGCTCTAACACGTGGAAAGAGCAGAATTAAGTCTTTCCTGATATCTGATCATTAGGCAACCAGGAAAGAGCATGGCTCTCCACATCTGGATCAATGTGCTCTAAAATCACTAGTGCCACTAGAGTGCCCAAAGTCCCTGGCCACTCTGTGATCTCTGGGGGCTAGGAGCCACATATAACATCTGGTTACATCATAGTCTAATTCTTCTGACCACACATGGAGGTTCTAAGATGCAGGTAAGCCCTAAAATTGAGGCACTCAGATTGCTCCGTATTATCCAAACACGTGACCTATTGCTCTAATGTGTCATTCAGACTTGAAAAGCAAGGTGTTCTGAGTTCAGACTCACCATATACCTATGGCTAGGTTGCTCATTGCTATGTAAAAGTAAGAAACATTCTCGAAAGTGAAGCCTTTTTTCAGAGAAAATGGGGAGACTCTGAGAACAGTTCCATCTTGGCATCAAAAGCTCTTCAGCCTATAGGAATTCCTTCTCAGACCACTGCCACACACCTGTCCCACTACAGCCAGCTTTCCCCATCAATCGCACCATTTACCAGAAGTGATCATTAGCACTCAATAATGGAGAACTAAAGTCTCAGAGGGTTAGATGCACGCTATGATCTACTTCCCAATAAAGGGAATGTGGAAACACAGCTTTTACTGCAATCCCATGACTGCCTTGTCCCACCCCAGGAAAGGGCCACGAGGAACCTAGATTCCTCAGGCTATCTGCACTGACAGTCTGGGTGATCTTGGCCCTTTACCTGACTTCTCTGAATGTTAATATTGCTTCTTTGTAAATGGGGGGGGGGATAATAGTTCTTCTTTTATGGTTTCCTAGGGAGTCTTAAATGAAATAATAGGTATAAAGTCTGGCCCACAGACTGGCCACATCACTGTGAGCCAGTTAAGTTAAGTAGTTGGCCCCAGCTCCTTGGGCTGCTATGGACTCTACACTTATCAAGGAGACCGGCATGGGACTGGCTACTTGGGCCTTGGGGAGTTTAACATGTCTGGGAAGCAGGGCCAGGTAGATTCAGTGCTAGAGGAAGTGGAAGGACTCCAGATACCAGTCTAAATGCCGGGATTCTGGTTTGGTTTCTCAGGTGCACCCTGCTATCATGGCCACAAAAATAAGCACATATACCTAAGAGAGAGTAAGGCTTGACTTTGATAGCTTCACCTTTATCATCCCCTGTGACTCCCTGAGGAGCAGTTTAAACTTAAAAGACTCCCAGGTTGCTCCCTCCTTGACAACTGGCCCACCCCCCAGCCTACAGCAAAGGCAATTCTAAATCCAGCATTCCTTCACCGCCCCCCCCCCCAGGCATGTAAACACATCTTTGTTCCCAGCTGGCATTTAATAACTGCACTTTATAGCGAAACAAAAGCTGCAATCAGAGTCCAACAAAGGAGGCTGCAGTCAGTGTCGAACAATACCTAGAATTCCCTTGGTGATCTCTCCCATCCGCAGCTGTGAGAACCAGAAGTTAACCATGAATTCCATTCACCATTATTCACCCAGCCCCACT